TGGTGGCCCTGAAAAGGGCCGTTTGTTGTTTTTTCCTGGGTTCAAACATATTTCAATTTTGTGAATCTGTTTTACCCACCATCTAGAGGTCTTAAAAGAAATGCTATAGCGTAGAAATATATTAGCCCTGAAAAAGGCCATTTGGCATCCAAGAGATTTACATGCTGGTACTTTCGGGATGGCGTGCTTACACCATTGCACAGCGGTTGAGATTTTGCAGGTGATCAATGTTGTAGTCAGCCTAACGGAACGACTGCAGTGGATCGTCGAAAGATGCTGAAGCTACTTAAATATCCTCCGATGTCCGCGTCCTTCAGGGTCCTACCAAATTTGTCGTGATCATCTCTGTCGCAACAGAATGTCCAAATTTTGGACGAGCCGCACCAGCACCAGCCACCCGAAACTTTCATTCCGGAGTGAGATCATTCTGGAAGCAATCTCCTTGTTCAGATCGGCCATTTCACATTTCCTCGCTAGATCTCCGGTTCTTTGGAACTGGAGTCTATGAATATTTATCATGCGAATCAAGGGTTGGGTGTGGGAATCAATGGCAATGAACTTACCGCTCGCAGGAACTCGTCGGACGCACGCCTCGTCAGCTTGGCTTGATGGAATCCCTCCAACGCTCGGTCGATGTTCTCCACGGTGTCAAGCGCCGGGTTGTCGATTAAATGTCTGTCTACAACGCGTCCAAACTGGGCCCAGTTTACGCGATGGTAGCCCATGCTGTGTGTGGTCGAACAGCAGACGACCGTTCTGGTTCTGCTGGTGGTTCCGCCAGGCCTCATGGCGAGCGTTTTGATCTCCTCCAACTACGAAGCGAGAACCAGTACGGGTGATGGTGGACAAGTCTTTCTTGAATTTAACCGCTAGTCCACTGCTGGCGGCACACTGTGGTATTTTATCCCTTTCTTGACGACGACTGCAACACCACCACCCCCTGTTGCTGGTGCGATCAAGCCGAATAATGTTTTGGTCAGGCAACCAGAAGCTGTCGCCGGATTTTAGATGGGTCTCGGTTAGAAGACCCACGTCGAGGCTGTGCTTGCGGAGGAAGTCGGAAAGCTCAATGTGTTTAGCTCTTACAGAGTAAGCGTTCGAGGTGATGATAGTTAGCGGTTTAGACGCCATACTGGATGATGAACTTACCGAGGACTGCGATCTGCTCGGGTTTATTGCGGCACTTACGAAGAGCACCGGTCATGTTGATGAAGATTTCCATCAGTTCATCTGCTGATAATAGATCGGGGTTGTTGCTTTGCGTTGGTGGTTGTCTCCAGAAGCCAGGGGTGGTAGAGATCTTTGTCCAGCAGAATCACCGGAGCTTCTTCAGGGGGGGGGGGGGTTGCACCCGGAAATTTGCTTGTCTTTGCTGGGGAGCACGAAGAGGCGGGAAATCCTCCATCCTGAATGCTGGGGTTTTGTCCTTCTTGCGTCCTGGTTGATTGTTGCTTGCCGCCTGCTTTCGGATGTGTTTGAAGTCCTCGCGTTTGGAGCACTGTCTGTCGGAACTTTGATGTGCACAACCACAGTTGGCGCATTTTAACGCCACGGCTCCATCCGCAGGGCAGTCAGAAGTGGCGTGTTTGTGAGTGCAATTGCCGCGGCGTAGCTTAATGTTGCAGTTGCGGGTACCTCCAAAATTGAGGCACCTCTGGTACAGCGTTACGTCACGATGGCGATCACGGTATGGCTCCCACCGTACGATGATGGAGTAGATCGATCGGATGGCTTGCAGCGCATTGAGCGTCAACGTCTCTTTCTGGAAGTGCACCAGGAAAAGACAATCTGGGTAGGGTAGAGCGCTACTTCGTCGTAATCGCCCATTTCCATTCTATCGATCAGAAAAGATCAATAATATCAATGATTTCACTGTACACAAATCAATAATAGGTTTGTTCCGATGCGTTAGTTCATTAGCTTCAAAATAAATCCTATTAGAGCACATTGTATGAATATTTACGCTAATTGTTCTCTAAACAAAAGAAGCGCTCCTAGCGAATCTCTTTTTTCTACAATTGTCCGTAGGACGAAGAAAATCTAATGGCGTTTCAATGCGTTTGGACGGAATTGAAACTCATAGGACGAATTTAGAATCAAGAAGCAGTATTGGATTTTAAACTATATCTCAAAAACTTGTTACTTTTTATCTAATCCAACGGTATGTATGGAATTGTGAATAAATTTAGAAGTCATCCTTGACTGAAATTTTCAATTTTTTGTTCATATCCGTTAAAAAAAGAGGTAAAACGCGGGTTGTGCTTAGTAGGACGGAAATTAGATCAAAAACCCTACGTCTTCACGTTTTTGTCTCCTTGTCATTCGGAAGACAGCTATTGGGGATAGCTTGTACCGGTCCTTGATTTCAGCTTCGACCATCTTGGGGTCGAAGTTTGGTAGACCCCTGATGACAACCTTGAAGGGCTTCTCACCGGGGATGTCATGCGTGAATAATTCCGTCTTGGAATCCTTCAGGTATTTCACGGTCACCTCGTACTCCGCTTTCGTACCTTGGTGCCGATCCTGTCGACCTTAAACTCAGCTGCAACGCCGAACGATGAGAGATCGCCAATCACCAGTGGAGGAAGCTTCATTTTTACTGCACTCGGGCTGGCAGCAGTTTCGTTGTCGACGGCGTCACCGAAATCACCAATGACCAGGGATCGGGTGCTACTCAATTTTTTGCGAGTAAAACACACGCTGTTGCGAGACTGCACTTTCATTTCCAAAGAGACGTGAAAGACCATTTTAAATCGTGCAGCACATTTCATTCTTCTTGTGTTCGAGAGCTGCCGCTCCAACGGTGTTAAGTCTCTTTCTCTATAGCTAGCATCAGTGCTGTTAATTCAAGAGCCACATGAGAAAAGGGCATACAAGCTTTATGTAAACAAACATTTGTAAGCCCTTTTCTCGCCAACCGAGGGTCACTTACGCAAACCAACAACATCATCGGGAAGAAGAAAGTTTCCCCTACCCAGTGACGTTGATGGGTTGGGTCCTTTTCACATGTTGTTCTTGAAATTTCATTCGATTGAAGATGAACCAATACAACTATTAAATCGATTCTGTGAAAAAAATTCTCTCGTGCCCATAATATTTTTTTTCCTTGATTTGTTTTCCGTCAATCTTGTTTTCCGTGCTGAGCACCAATGCTACCGACGCCAGGGAGGTAACTCCTACACCTGGACCTTACCTATCGACTCATAAACTCATGAACCGGGGACCAACGGCTTTACTTCCCTTCCGAAGGAAGGCGTGATCAGAGATGTTATGCCTCACAAAATCCCGGTGGCGCCGACTGAGTGAACCCAGGCCTGCTGGGGTGAGAGGTTATCACGCTTACCACTACACCACCGGCACCGCTGTGCCCATCATTTGAAGAGCCCCTTTCTCATTCGAAGCTCATTGGCACTGTCAATTAAGTCACCCACTATCATTTGATATACGACAGTGGAGTGTGGAAGAAACCCAGCAAAATGGTCCCGAATAGACAAGTTGACCCGATGTCGGATCAAAGTAAGGCTAATTTAAGGTTGGTGTCGACCCAATGTCGTGTTGTTGTCGGGTCAATTTGGGGTTTATGTCGGTTCAACATCGGGTTGGGGTTTGATAGAAGTCAGGTTGGTGTCGGGTTGGCTTAGATTTTTCGCCGGAATGTCGACCGGAGCTAAACACCTTGTGAAGAAAATTACACATCGATCATAAAGAAAATTGGGAAAAGCATCAAAATTTGCATTTTCCTACGCTTTTGAATACCATACAGTCACTGCAACATATATTATATGAGTGTAAAAATATTCTGCACCTAGCCTAACATATGCAGCCATTCTTGTAAATCTCTAAGCCACGTCTTTCCCGATTGAAAAGTGCTATTTCCGTCATAACACCGTGCACTACTCGATTGTGCTATACGCAAGTAGCATCTGAGCTGTCCAACTACCCTCTCCTAAATATGAAATCTCTCTCTCCTTAGCCTCTTTCTCCTTCCAAATATAAGGGACGCGCTCCCTTATTCTAGAGTAGCACCAGTGTTTTTTGAACCATTCTGAGTTTTTAGTCGATGCCTGCTAATGACGCTGACGTTCGCTGACGACCACTCGCACCATCGGACTGGCCCTGATTTTTCTTCCTCTTCCTAGACCACTTCGCCGTGGCTGAGGTGGTATTCCCAACATCGGTGGGAAGAGTAGCGTACCTATTCGAAATAGGTACACTCAAGCTACCCTCACCGCTGTTCTTCTTCTCCGTTTTCTCTCAGAGCCTGCTCCGGGAGCGCTGTCTTCCCATCACACGAAGCGACCGACACTTCTGACGACGCGATTAAACTGCGAATGTTTGGAACAAACCAGGAACTTTAGAACAACTCGACAGAGCGAGCAAAGACCGAACTGTACTGATTGACGTTCAAGCATAGAATGATGACTCTGATGAAGAAAACGATTTGGCAAGCGTTTTTATTGCCGCTGCTTTTCTCCTCCATTTCATTCATTGGTGAAATGGTGAGCGGTCAACCGAGCGGTGAGCACACTCATGTGAGCATGCGCAATATGTCATGCGTTCGATTTGCGCTCTATCGTTACGTCCGTGCTTGGGATTTTTCGTTACATGTCTGAATTTTATTTTTTTTTTCAATATGACCCCCAGTATAGAAATTAAAGACGTAGTCCTACGTAATAAAAAACATCTAGCGAAGAATACACATTGGTTTAACATCGATTGGTAAACCCACAATAAAATGGTAACTGAAAACCCACATGTAGGTACAACAACGCAAGTGCTCGGCAGTTAACAAAGAGAAAAAATGAACAATTCCAAAAGCAGACGGGAAAAGTGCTCCCGTTGTTATCGAGTTGATCGCGAAGCTTGATTTTATTGCTCTTTGGATCTTATAAGGAATATTCCATAGATGAATTGACTGGGAAACACAAAACTGAGTCCAATCTTAAAATTCAACACGAAATCTCAACTCACTTTTCAAACTCCTCCCCATTCCATTCCAGATGGGGCCGTCATCCGCGAAGCGGAACTCCATCCCAGCATCGCGACGTCATCGACTATCGGACGGGCTACATTCGATCGCATCTTCGCTCTCCCTCTGGCCGGGTGAGATGACCGCCGAGCAGCAACAGTACCAGCAGCAGCAGCAGCCACAGCAGCATATGCATCACTTTCAGCACTACATTCGTAGCGACTATGGCAGCGATAGCGTTAGTTTGAACTCCAAGCTACGTCACTACTCGCTGACGGAGACGACCAACTTCGGTGGACGGAAGTTTGGGGGTGGTGGTGTAAGTTCGACTATGGCACAACCATCCTCGAGGCAGATCAATGGCCGGAGTAGTTCGTATGGGTCGCTGCAGTAGATTCTTCGAGATCTTCTGTATTCCAAGCATTAACGAGATCATTCCATCTGAACCCATGTTGCTTAAACTCATTAACATTACTTCGATATTACTATATTTAGATATACATTTCAATGGCGAGGAGATCAGAAGAAGGGATGGTAGCACTGCTTGACACCAGAATTGACATCACTTTTGTAACTTTCTTCATTATTGATTTACCATCGGTCATGGTACAGTTTCTTGATTCAAAAGGAAACTCAGTCAGAATCACTAATTCAATTCACTTGCCTTTGAACATTAGGAGTGATAAATATTGTTGAAGAATTTCAGGTATTTCATTTGATGTTTTAGTTTCACCATGATAGAACTAGCAACGAAACAATCAACTCTATTTTCCAAATTTCTCGAACAGCTTTTTTTTATTCGTCAATCGCGATGTAAATGATTACTTCCTGGACACAGGAACACAGAGTTGACAGGGACATTTGTCTCGTCCCGGTGATGGTTGTAGCATGTGTGCTTATCAAATGCAACATGAGGCACAAAAACAGTCGTGCAGCAAGCAAGCAGTGTTGTAAACATTTAATCTAAAAAAACGAAAACAAAATCACAGAGAAGGATGCCACATTTTCGAATCCAACACCGAAAAAAAAATCAAGTTTCAGCACCGTTTACACTTTAGATGCCAATTAATCCAAAATTACAAAAAAAAATAATAAGTCGACAGAAACATGGCAAGCAATATCGTCAAATAAAAGAAAAACAGAATTTGCCAACTCAAAAGCGAACAGAAATGACAAAAACTTGACAGAAGTGGCTGAATGATAAGAGAAAGCGAACTTTCTTCCCCGTGTACAGTTTGTGGCAAAACGAAGGAATTGTGATAAATTCAATACTCATTTCTGAAGTTTCCACAAATTAAGGATATATTTTCATCAAAATCATGCACCACAAGCTGTACCGTTTAAGTGGTTCACTATTAAATAACGAGAAACAAAAATAGCGATCGGAAACATTCCCAAACTAGTATTTAAGATTAGAATAGGATGGTACATTTATAGCCAAACGTGATAGAACATTGTCAAAAATGAAAAAAAAAAACAATTCCCTAAAATTAATCAGAGAATGATAAGTAACTCCCAATAATCTGCAAAGCACTAGATCCACTCCTGGATGCAACATTTAAAGCAAATTCATATTTTCTGGTAGAAGACACCATCACAAAAATCACATCAATTTCACTTTTGTAAATTCAATTTCCCCAATATTCAAAACACGACAAAATATAACGAAAACTTTATTGTAAAACAAAATACAACAGTAACTGTAACAATCAAATTTTTTGCGAGCATTTCAGCGAACTTCAAAGATGTCGTCATTTTTTGTCCAGCAAAGCGGATAGCAAGAAGAGCAAAATCAACTAATCACTGTTTTTACTAAACAAAAAAAAAAATACTGCATTTGATAGCAACTCTGGAATAACAAACAATAAATAGAAACGTTCAATTTTTAAACTTTAGCACTTACGGACGTTCGGTGGTCAATAGCCGGGAAGATGAAATGAGTAAAGCAACTGTTAATGGAACGGTGATTTAATTTATCGATTTTAATGTATAAATACAAGAACAAGAAGAAAAATAAAACAATAATAGTACATGATGAATGTCTATTTACGTTTCGTTACCTGTCGGTAGTTTGGATAATGTTAAAAACGAATGTGAAAGCAGCACCAGAACCATGGAAGGAATAGAAAGTGTTAGAATTTTTCAATAAAAGTGATACACTAACCTAGCCAAATTCTGTAAAAATCGTCTCACGCGTTTTTTTTTTTGTGTCTTTGCGATGACTGCCAATCGGCTGTGAATCGATGCGAGCTGGAGAACTGGAAAAATTCGTCACTAATATCGTAGCCAAGTACGATTTCAAATTTTATTATGCTATAAACCATCATTTGGTCATTTGGTTAATCTTGTCAATTTGAAATGCACACACATTTGATAGCTAAATATCCTTTAACTGACACTTGTTTCAGTTAGCGGACTTTCAGTCAAATCGTATTTCAGTAAAAAGTCTTTCAGTTAGCGAAATCCTCTAAATACGACTTTGTTCTTCGATACTTTCCATTTATTTGCTCTGGATCCAGACTTTTGATACAAACTCCATCGACAAAATATTCAATGACAAGTCTGAACGACCATCTGGACATAATTTACAGAATACAAAGCTCACCTCTGAAATTCCGAAGGTCTAATCTAATCTAATCTAACACAAACGCAGCCAATACGAGAAAGCATCCTGGAAAATGATTAGGTTAGATAACGCCTAATCATCTTTCCTGACAACATTGATGTTTGCAACATATCTGTGAGATATGACACAATCATCAAAACGGCCAGGCCTACTGCGCTGCATTTGCCGCAAAGATGATTCTGTAAAATGATTCGAGCTCTGGTTCGAGCTTGAATAAATATATTCCACGAATTGTTAAAGCATACATAGGATCACTATACGGTGGTTTCATGTTCTGACAACATTTAAAATGGAAATAAACAATATTTCGGTTCCTAGTTCACAAGTAAAAGTTACATTCACTACACTTACTTACTTAAGGGTCCTGTGCACCACCAGCGGTGCAAAGGGCTAACGTGAAAAACTTCCATCCTGGGCGGCTGCTCGCTTTTGCCTTGACCCTTGGGCCCAGGTCAGATTCCTATCGACTTGCTTAATTTCCTTATTGAGGCTCCGCCGCCATGAGCCCCTGGGTCTGCCTCTGCTGCGATGTCCTGCCGGATTCCAATCCAGCGCTTGCTTGCAGATTTCGTTTCCGCCCCGTCGAAGTGTGTGGCCGACCCACCTCCACTTTCGCTCTCGAATTTCTGTTGCTATCGGCTTCTGATGACATCGACGATGGAGCTCGGCATTCGAGATTCAGTTGTGAGGCCACCAGGCACGAATTATGTACCGCAGGCATCGGATGATGAAGACCTGCAGCTTTTGAGTGTTCTCTGCTGATACACACCACGTCTCGCTGGCGTATAACAACACAGATTTCACGTTCGAGTTGAAAATTCAGATTTTGGTGCGTTGACTTATCTGGTTGGGTCTCCATACGTTTCGTAAATTCGCAAAGGCAGCCCTAGCCTTCTTGATTCGTGCACCTATGCCTCTCTTGGTCCCGCCGTCCGACGCTATTTGGCTGCCAAGATATTGGAAAATTTCGACCTTCTCCACTGCTTGCCCCGCTACCGTAAAGTTGGAAGGGTTTCCCGTGTTGATATCCAACGATTTGGTCTTGTTGACGTTGATGGTGAGACCCGCCGCAGAGGAGCGTTCGGCTAGGTCATTGAGCTTACTCTGCATATCAGAGCGCCGTTGTGCTAGTAGAGCAACATCATCAGCTAAATTGAAGTCGTTGAGATGCTCCATGGTGATAGGCTGCCAAAGCAGTCCACGGTTCGGTACACGGTCAATTGCACCTACCATGATCTCGTCGATTACGATGAGAAACAGTAGCGGTGATAGTATACATCCTTGTCTCACACCAGCGACTACTCGGATAGGGTCGGACAAGGCTCCGTTATGCAGAACTCTGCACGTGAAAGCCTCATACTGCGCTTCGATGAGGTTGGCGATTTTATCCGGGACTCCCTTGCGTCTCAGGGCGCCCCACAGATTCTCGTGATTGAGACGGTCGAAAGCTTTTTCGTAGTCAATGAATACCAAATAAAGGGACTCTTGGAATTCATTGAACTGCTCCAGGATGATGAGGAGCGTGACAATATGGTCCACACAAGATCTTCCGGCACGGAATCCTGCCTGCTGCCGTCGGAGAGTCGCGTCGATCTTCTCCTGTATCCGATTCAGGATAACTTTGCACAGAACTTTGAGAACAATACACAGTAACATGATGCCTCGCCAATTGTCGCACAAAGTCAGATCCCCCTTCTTTGGGACCTTCACTAAGATGCCCTGCATCCAGTCGGCCAGAAAAGTCACGGTGTCCCAGATATTACAGAATAGTTGATGCAACATTTGTGCGGATAGCATGGGGTCAGCTTTGAGTATCTCTGCTGATATGCGATCGACCCCTGGAGCCTTGTTGGATTTCATGCTTCAGATAGCTGTTTCAATCTCCTGCAGTGATGGGGCCTCGGAATTGACGCGAGTGATGTGCCGCACCCTAGGCGGATCATGCCGAGATGTTGATGGCTGGTTGGCCGTCGAAACTTGAAGAAGTTGTTCGAAGTGCTCAAACCAGCGTTTCAGCTGGTCAGTGGGGTCGGTAAGCAATTGTCCAGTCGTGTCCTTCACTGGCATCCTCGGGTTCATCCTTGCTCCACTCAGGCGTCGTGAGATATCGTAGAGGAGGCGTATATCGCCAGTGTTTGCGGCTTTCTCCCCTTCGTCGGCCAGGGAGTTCACCCACGCTCGCTTGTCCCGTCTACAAGAGCGCTTGACTTCCTTCTCTAGAGCCGAGTACCGTTGACGGGCTTCGTTCTTGGCTCCTCTGGTTCTCGCCCGCTCTATCGCGGCTTTTGCTTCTCTACGCTCCTCAATCTTCCGCCAGGTTTCATCTGTGATCCACTCTTTCCTCTGGGTGCGCAGCTCACCCAAGTTGTTCTCGCTTGTTTCTATAAAGGCATTCTTGATGGCCGTCCATTGTTCTTCTACGCTGCCACCTTCTGGAACGTCCGCAGCTCGAGTCTCAAGTTCTTCAACAAAAGACCTTTTTACCGCTGGATCTTCAAGTCGGCGTGTGTCGAACCGCCGCCCGAGTCTCTCCTCCCGTCGCTGGATCCGCGCCATGCGTAGGCGGATTTCACCGATTAGAAGGTGATGGTCAGTCGCGATGTCGGCGCTGCGTTTATTCCGAACATCAAGAAGGCTCCGTCTCCATTTTCGGCTGATGCAGATGTGGTCGATCTGATTTTCGGTATGTCCATCACGGGAAACCCACGTGACTTTGTGCACTGGCCGATGGGGGAAGAGCGAGCCCTCGATCATCATGTCGTTATTGCCCCAAAATTCTGCAAACAGCTTACCGTTCTCGTTCATTTCAGTTCACATCTAGCTGCCTTCTAAGTATGCACGATGGTCATCAAATGGATTCCATTTATACGGACTTAAAAGCCGCATTCGATCGTGTCAATCACCGAATCCTGCTCGCAAAACTCGAACGCTTAGGAGTTGAAACTCGGTTTGTCAAATGGATGGAATCTTACCTTGTGAACCGTCGTCTTTGTGTGAAACTTGGCACTTTTGAGTAGAACGTTTTCAGCAACAGCTCAGGAGTTCCACAAGGAAGCAATCTTGGACCACTGTTATTTTCCCTGTTTTTCAACGATGTCTGCTCTCTCCTACCAGACGGGTGTAAAATCTTGTATGCAGATGATCTAAAATTGTACTTGATAATACGATCTATAGAAGACTGCCAGAAGCTTCAACAGTATATTGATCTCTTCTAAGGCTGGTGTGACAGGAATCATCTCGTTATAAGTGTGAACAAATGTGCCGTGATATATTTCACCCGCAAGAAATCTCCAATCTGCTGGCCATACACGATTCGTGGAGAAGCATTGGAAAGAGTCACAAGCATCAGGGATCTTGGAGTCATTACTCCAACATCATCGCTAGGGCTAACAGAAATCTGGGATTCATCTTCCGCATTTCGAAAGAGTTTCGCGACCCGTACTGCTTACTATCACTGTACTACTCCCTTGTACGTTCCGGGCTAGAATCTTCTTCTGTCGTGTGGAGTCCTCACCACGAGGTCTGAATAAAAAGGATAGAAGCAGTTCAATCACGATTCGAAAGATACGCGGTTCCTGCCTTGGAATAACCCAAACGATTTACCACCGTACGAGAGTCGCTGTCGCCTGCTAGGAATGACAACTCTGGAAAGCAGGCGAAGCCAACAGAAAGCAGTATTTGGTGCGAAGCTGCTATTAGGAGAAATTGACGCTCCTTACATACTCTCTCGAATAAACCTTGGTATTACACCCAGACAACTCCGTCAACGGCAGATCTTGAGGCTTAACTTTCAGAGGACCGATTATGCTCAGAATGAACCTATTAGGGCAATGTGTGTTGAATTCAACCAAGTTTTTTATCTATTTGATTTCAATGTTAGTATTAATGTTTTCATTCAACGACTTTGATCAATGCTATAGTGTTAAGGGTGCCTAGTATAAGTTAATTCATGTAGACCGTGGTTTGTCCGATGAATAATAATAATACCATGGCGTCCCATGACACGCTCATAGTCCGTGTTGTCGGAGCCGATGTTCGCATTGAAGTCGCCAGTGTAGATCTTGATGTCACCCTTTGGAACCTTATCCACGACGGCATTCAGTTGACTGTAAAAAATCTCCTTGTCCTGTAGCTCGGCAGCATCGGTTGGCGCATAACATTGGATTATGGTAAGGTTACGAACCCGTGTTCTAAATCTGGCAACGATTATCCTCTCATTAACAGGCTCCCACTTGATGAGCGCAGCACTTGCCTGGACGCTAAGTAGGAGACCAACTCCACGATGGCGGGGAGCGTTTCCACCTCGAATACCAGAGTATAATAGTACCTGTCCCGACGGCAGTTTGTGTTCTCCAAAGTTTGGCCAACGAACTTCACTCAGTCCCAGGATTTCTAGCTTCATGCGTCGCGCCTCCTTGGCGAGTTGTGCCAGTTTACCCTGCTGGGCTAACGTCAATACATTCCATGATCCAATTCGTGTCCGTTGTTTTGCGCTAAAAGTCGTTGCCGTTATATCAGTTCGATGTCTTTCTCTGTTAGTTTCTGTAACAATTGTAAA